CTAAAATAGTTTTAGAATTTTTATCTTTAAAAATATGATAACAGAGTCCCACAATATAAAGCACTCACTAGTTTAGCTGATACTTGATTTTGTCAAGTTCCCATTTAGAGTCACAATTGTTCTTTGTTTTCTTCTTTTACAAAGCCTTCCAAATTCAGAGCTATAAATGTCTAAAATGATTGTGTTTTTCAGTTTACATTGTTATTAATTTTGAGTGCATGTGTGTGTTTCTGTTTATTTATGTAGTGGATAGAAATCACGCGAGAGCATTAATGTGGTAGTGAAAGGACAGCATTCAGGAGTCAGTTCTCTTCTTCTACCCTGTGATACCCAGGGGTTTAATTCATGTCCTTAGTTTGATAACATGCACTGTTACATGCAGAGCCATCTCTATAACCCTGAACTGATATTTTTATAGTAAGATATCGTGTTTAGTCATTTGCTAAACCAATTCCTCTTTCATTCAGTGAATCAAACAAAAGAGTTAAAATAGTTAAATGGTACCACAGCACTGAAAGCATGGAAGCTATCGAGATAGATTCACACCGATTTTCCATGAAATTCTGACTAGTTTTGCAGCAGAACAATTACTGGGAAAGCAAAAAAGTGATCCCAGAGCATTCTGAAGATTGACCCCAGTCCATAAAGCAGAATCAGAACAGATTTACATAGTGCTCCTAGAAGAACAACAAGGCATTCTATAGTTGTATGACCTACCTGCCTGGACCAAATGTCTATAATCCAGGATAGATTTACCTCTAACTGTGTGAAGGTGAATGCTTTCCATTTGAGCTGTACAAAAACTATGGAATCTATTATAATTATAGCAGAAATCACTTGGCCATCACTGATTTCTTTTGGTTAGTTCACTAGTGTCTTCAACACGGATATATTTCCTTAGCATGTCTTAACTTCTAGAGACTCTGTTTTATCAAAATAAGAGTTTGAGATTTATTTAATTAGTTAGAAAAAATCCAAAGTTTTCTATGATTTTCTATTATGCTATGCTCACTTTCAGTGATGTTAACCAAAATGTTTTTATTTAATTATTTTTTAATTTTATGTGTATGAGTGCATTGCCTCCCTGCACATAGATAACCTGTGTTATGCAATGCCCACAAAGGTCAGTGGAGGACGTCGGATCCCCTGGAACTAGAGTCATGGACTATTATTAGCTACCATGTGGGTGCTGGGATTTGAATCTGGACTATTTATAAGAGCAGGCAATGTTCTTAACTGCTGAGCCATCTCTCCAGCCCTAGAAATGTTTTATAATCAGTCTGACAAAAGGTTACTAAGAAAGGAGGCATGCATGGATTCAGTGACTGTCTAGTTTTGTCATTATCCTAGCCCATCTTTGTCTAGTACACAATGAGACAAATTATGGTCCTTCTCAATCAGTCAATATGAAAAAGATGGATATATGCTCTGGGGTCATGAAAGTCTACTACAAACCATCTGAGCAATATGGACTTCCCCAAAGCCTCCACCAAATTCCCAATACAACAACTTACACTGGTGACACTTGATCACTTAGTACAAATTTTTTGAAAAATAAATCACACAATGCTGAACTCCTGATTTCTTTCACTATTTGTACATAACTTTAGCTCATTCAACCTCAGTACAGACTCAGTATCTGATTTACAACAAAATAGGATACATACAATCTCTATCATCCTGGAGATACCCCTTAATAACATCTGCTACCAAATGAAAGGAGCAAGCCCTCCTTTGCCAGCATGGTCCTCACATGCAAAGTTGCTGGCAATGCTGTTGGTTTTTATATCTCATATGATTTCAGCTTTTAAAAATAAACTTTCATTTACTCACCTTTATGTCTGTCTATAAATTTCCTCATTGGTAAAACCAAGAATTGGGGAAAGAATACGGTCTGAGTTCCCTGGCCTACCTCCTTTAGAACATCTTGGTGAATTAGCCAAGAAATTTAACTAAAATCTCTCTGCTGCTAGAGGTCTGATGAGAGCCATATTTGAAACTATATGATCACAGTCTATGTCCCTGTTCAACAAACTTTCCACTTGTTTCAATCCTTTTCTCTGGCCCTATATGAAACTTACTTGCTGCATTATAGTCCCTTTTCTCTAAAGTCAGACCCAAATAGCTCCTTACTGCCTGCACAAGTCAGGCATGGAAGAAACCACCATTTATCCTGCATAACACCTGCTGAGACAAGAGAATGGGATGGAGCAGGAGGTTCTAGATGTGTGAAGAACAGTATACGAATGAAAGCAGTGACAGAAATATTGTAAATTCCCCTGTCCATGGCATATATGTAACAAAGTATAGCATACATAGAAAAGTGTGTGGTATGTAAATGACATGTGGTGATTTGAATGAGACTGTCCCCCACAAGCTCCAAGCATTTGGACATTTTGTCCCCAGTCAGTGGCACTGTTTTGGGAAGTCTTAGAAAGTGTGGTATTACTGGAAGAAACATGTCACTGGGGGCAGACTTACAGAGTTCTTATGCTTTGCTGGACTTCCAGTTACCTCTGTTTTCTGTACCTGCTGGAAACTGAATGTTGCTCCAGTCGCCTCCTGCCACTATGCTGCCCCACCATTATGGATTGTAATCCCTCTGGAACCATAAATTATATAAACTCTTCCTTCTATATGCTGCTTGGGTCAGTGTTTCTTTTGTCACAGCAACAGAAAAGCAATACAACATACAATGCAGTCACAAGATTCCAGGCATAAGGCCATTGACCCTGTGACTTTTATCCAGCTTTGACCCATTTCCAACGTTATTAGCCCCACTTACAATTTATTCTTATGTGTATGAATTTTATGTAAATTGCACCCATGTTGTGCAATGCCCATGAATTACAGAGGAGGGAATGCAACCTGGAACTTGAATTATGGGCAGTTTTTAGCTTCCATGTGTGTGCTGGGATTTGAATCTGGGTCTTCTGCAAGAGCAATTAGTACTTTTAATGCTGGGCCATGTCTTCAGCCCCTTGCCCACTTCCAATACCCTAAGTGCTTTTCTCTCTTTAAAAGGTATCCATGTGTCCTTTTCAATGCTTTCTTCCAAGAAAAAAGTTCCTGGAAATCCAAGCAGGTTCTTACCACATCCTGATTTATGGCTATAAGAGTTTGGCTAGCCACCATCCAGGTGGTATAATTAATGGCTTTAACCTCTTAAAAACTTTCTGCTCCATTTTTCTTCCTTTCTTTGCCTACCATTTCACTTTACTTGTAGAGCTTCTTAAGCGAACTCTAAGGAAATGACAAACAGTAGGCTGGGGGGCATCAGATGCAATCCATTTACTTCCCCTTTTTATACCTGACTGTGGGGTCATCAGGGATTGAAAGTACATGCTGACTTTCTCCTTGCCCTGCTGGATGTCAGGGCCACAACGCACATGTGCCCACTTCATCTGGGCATCACTGGGGTTTTTCCTGAGGACACATGACCGTGGTGCAAGCTGCTATTTCAAGTTCTCCAAAAATACCTGGACTAGAGGTTGAAGAAACGGCTCAGTAGTTAAGAGCACAGACTGTTCTTTCAGAGGTCCTAGGTTCGATTCCCCACAACCACATGGTAGCTAACAACCATCTATAAATCCAGTTCCAGGGGAATTTGATACCCCTCTCTGACCACCACAGACATTTCATGACACAGATGCACTTACATTCACGCAAGCAATACACTCATACACAAAAAATAAAATATAATACATTTAAAAATTAGACTTATGCATGTACAAAGTCTCATCCCTCCACCCCAACATACCACAGAAGCATGTTGTAAGACTCCATAATATCTGTGTACTCCTTATAGGCCAAGCAGACAGCAGCAGTACTACTAAATGGTGGTTACAGCCACCAAAGATGCCAATTAAAGATGATGGTGGTCATGTGGGCAGCCGAGATGACGCTGAATGAGTATGGGCGGCCATCATAGTACTTACAAAGCAGTTAAGACCCACTTGGTAGCCCTGTACCTATAAAACTTTCAAACATTATGGTTACCCCAAACTTTCCCACTCTGTTGGTACTTTGTTTTCCCATATCTACTGTCTTATTCCTTTCTCTCTCCCTTTCTTCTTCTGCTAGACCTGCTGGGATGGTGGTTCAGGTACTGGACAGTAACAGGAGCAGTGGTGAAACATTCCTGCCCTTCTTCATACCTTAGGAATCGCCAAGAAATGTGCCCTTGTTCTAAGGCTCAGGTTAGTGTCTGAAGGAGGAGATGCCAGTGTGATGCAAAAGCTGACTCTACTGCCTGAGAGTCCCAGTGCCTAGCACCTCCATATATGGATTACAGATTGGGTCCCCAAGGCTCATTTTCATCCTTCTGGTCCAAAACATGATAAGGATGAAATTTCAAACCTGAAATCTCATCTCAGTGCACCCAGAGACTAACGACCAAGACACAAGCAGCTAAGTCACAAGTCAGCTACAACATCCAGCATTATCTACAGGCTAAACTGTTCTAGCACTTGGTAGCACAGGGCACTATTCAAGTGAGGGAAACAAGTTTTGACCCATCTCAGCACACTTAGTTAACTTTCCTTTGTACCTCCTGACCTCTGTCCTGTATTACTATGTTTTGTTTATTTCTGCTTCTTCATGTTCTAATTATAAGCATCCTGGAAGAATTGAAGACATGCTAAAGACACTTGTGTTATTCTCTATGTATATCAGACAATGAAAACTAAAAACTAAGAATTTCCCCAGAAATCTTTTATTCAGAGAATAAAAAGGCTGAAACCCAGTACCAGCCAAGGGGAAATTTATTTCCTTGGAAAAGACTGACATTTTTTTCTGATGACTTTACAATACTTGGGATATACCTTGACACTATGGGTAGCACAGCTAGCTCCATCTTGAATTAGTGCAATGTTCTTTGCATTCTTTTTTCTATGATAAACATCATGACCAAAAGCAACTTGGGGAGGAAGGGTGTATTTCGGCTTACACTTTCAAGATGGCCCATGCTAAATATCTGGAGAGCTTAGTTCACACAAAATGGCTCTCAGTGGCTGTCTGGAAACCCCAAAAGTAAACAGTGTTGTAATCAGTTATGTTACCAGTCTTGGCAAGAAGACATCTGTGAGCAATATCCTATAAAACAAAGGCCTTGGGAATAAGGACGCATGGTCCTACCTGGTGGCCAGCTGACTATGTGCCTGTGCACCAATGGAGAATAAAGCATGTTACAGTTGCCAGTGGCTTCATGAATCTTCTTTAATCTCCTGGCTCCCTGCTTTTCTCTGTTTCTGGTCCTTACTCAGTCTCCACATATATACCAATACCTGTGGTAGCTATGGCATTGTTAGTTGAATATTCCTGTAAGCCACCAAGCTTTGGGCAACCATTAGAATCCCTTATTCTGCATCAGGTAAAATATGTTCTTGGATTTAAAAAGATACCCTCTTTAGGCAGAAGTAGGGTTGCAAAATATCATTCAATCTTTCTAGGGAACTCATGAGTCACTGAAATTTTTGGAGCCCCAAATACTTCCCTAATCAGGATGTCCATGGAAACTTATTTCTTAGCGCCTTTGTGTACTGATGCTATCTCTTCCACCTGTGCCAAGTGACCTGAATTAAGAGACCAGTCCCTGGACAATTTGGACAGGGCTATGGTTTACTGGTGAGAGTAGTTGTGGTTAAAATGGAGAAGTTATGCAAGATATGAAATGGTCAACAAAAGAAAAATATTTGCAACATTCTCAATATCTCCTTCATCTTCTCACAAAGGCTAACCTAATAACCCTAACAAGTTATTAATTTTGGGAGCAGTAAAAAAGTCCTAATGTATATACTGATTGAAAGCATACCTTCATGAAGCTGGAGAGATGGCTCAATGGTTAAGCACACATACTGCTCTTAGTGGGTATCCATATCAGGTACCTCACAACTATCTGTAACTCCAATCAGGAGATCTTATACCCTCTTCTTATATGTGCAGGCACCTTCAATTATGTGCACATATGCAGACAAAGACACACAAAATTAAATAAATGTTTAAAAAACACAATAACGTATGCCTTCATGATCTTTCATGCCAATGCTGCCATTTGTGAATAATGACCAATAACCATTCTTAAAACATAAGCAGTAAATTTTCTACCTACTAGAAGCCAATCAGTTTCCCTCTCAAAAGGAAGTCATCTCATGCAAGAGCCATCAGAAGGGCTAATGTTGCCCAAGGAAATAGGAAAGAAGAAGATGAAGCACACACAAAATATAGCTTTAAGGATCCCCCGTGGTTTAGTCCTGTTACTTCCAAGGACAGATGATATGAAGTGAAAGTATAAAGGCAAGAAAAAGAATGGGCTTCAGAACATGCGGTCAATCATGGGGATCCAATTGCAATGGTAGGGTCCCAAAGATTATGAACACTGGGGATTGGATCCTCCTTAAAATTTGGAAATAACGTGTTTGTTGTGATGGTCATTATGGATTTGGGATTTAGGCTGGGTTGAACCAGTGATTCATTTTCTCCATTAGCATTTTGTATATTATCGTATAGCACAGGCCAATTCCTGCTCCGTTGCTCCAAGTCCTGTATTCAAAGCATGTCCTCTCTTCAGCAGTAGGGTTTTGTCTTCCAGTCTTGGAGAAAACAAGGGCTCTGGAAATACCCTGTGTTATTTTGGGTATCTCTTACATCACTCTCACCAACCACTCAAACGGATGTGTCTCTTGTCTGGCACTGTGTTCCTTGCCATACAATGCCTGGTATACATATGCACTAATGTACTTAAAGCCCTCTAAAAGGCAGTGAACTCATTGGTGACACTGTAAGCACAGCCAAAAGCACATGGCTGGAGAAGACATAGATCCTAGAGAAAACCCTATGTCATACATCTAGACAAATGAAATTTTTAACATATGCTAAATAAGGATCCTTATATTTACAGACAAGTATGTAGTACACCAGTGATCAAATAAGTTTCTTTTTGCAACATATGGAGGCTACTGAAGAATCCCACAATTGGTCAGAAACTGACAATATAAATCTGAGAGATGCCCAGTCACAGATGACATGTACAGTTGAACCTCTACACCTAAGGCTCATGGAACATAGCAGAAAGACGGGTAGAGCAAACTAGTACATGTCTCAACTCTCACCAGTGAAGCTGCCTTATAAAACAGAGTGCAATGGATACAGAAGGTCACAACTAGTCAAGTTTTAAAGAATAGGAGACTGCAGGCTGTGCATCCATAAACAGGAGTACTATATTAAATCTCTCCCACCAATGACTCAGGAAATACAGTGGAAGAGGGGAGAGAAAGATTGTAAGAGTCAGGGCTGGTTCATGAACATAGGGAAGTACATGCTTCCAGACCACAGGAAGTTTGCAGATGTGAAATCATGGCAATGTTTTCATCAAGCACAGGAACCATGCCAACTCAATTGGACAAGGGCCCAGAGTGGAGGAGTAAAGTAGGTGATGGGCCTATTCTGGACACATTTTGGGACTGATTACTATTGGATGTGGGAAAGCAAGCTTTACTTACGATCCCTAAACAGGCAGACTAGACTCCAGTGAATGAATGTACACCAAGGATGTCCAGGTACAAATGCTTGACTGGATAGGACTTAATATTATGGCAAAATACATAAAGTCCCATGGGGGAAGGGCATGAATGAGGAAGGGGTTCCAAATTTGATTAAGAATTGTTGTATGAAGCATAAAAATACTCAATATAAATTGTTTAAAATTTTTTGGAAAGAAAGACCTATAAAACACTTGGGTCCTTGATGCAAGGGACTTTACCAAGTGGTCTGAGACACCTGTTGGAAAGAGCCAAATTCTTATCATTAAGATGAAACCTGTGATCTTCCTGAGGCAAAAGAGGATAGCACCAACACTTGTGAGCCAGTAGAACATGTGAAACTTCTTTTCACAAAACAAAGTAGTAACCTAATGACTATTGAAACATTCTATTATACCCCCTGCTCTGACTTTTCCTTCTGCCTATGTAGTAACCATAATTGTGAACCAATGCATAAGGGCTTTCATGCTCCTGGAAGAATGGATTCATTTTCCTGCCACAGTCAAGGAACTTCAAA